TAAATTACCAAAGTCTGAGTAGCTCTCCACTAAATAGCACCCAAAGCTCAAAAGTTTCTTCACACGGCCTGGTTTCTCCATATGAGAACAACCCTACTCAAAATTAAAGCTCCTGAGTATCTACCAAAGATGATACTGTAAAAATATGACGCATTCTTGGAAAATACATAGGGCAGAATTCTAGTTTAATCAAAGCTAATAGCAAAGTCCTGTCTTAGATATCTAGCTTTTTTCCACAACTCTGTTTGAGCAGTTTTCAAAAAATATACATTCATGTTACAGCAGCAACCAGAGATCCCCAGTGAGCTTAGGGGAACACCAACAAGGTCCTTGCCTGATTTCTTGTCTTCAACCAGGTCCATAAAAAGTGTATCAATGGATTTGCTAATACCTTCTTCTTCTCTCCTCCCTTGGTGCCTTTACCTTTTGTAAGACCGATTATTTATGTGCCTGTGTAGTTTTCTCAAGAAAATTCATTCTCTGGAGAGTTTGCAGCTCAACTCTTATGTAAATTAAGCTTGTTGCAGATAGAAGATCCATCATTTAGGCATTTGTTTTTTGAAGAACATTACCCTATAATTAATTTGGTGGCACTCTGCATGCTGCAGATTAGATAATAAAGTTTTACAGAACTTCAAAAAGTACGACTGAATAACTGTTTTACTGCAATTCTGTTGCCCAACTGTGGTTGCACTCAAAATAACGAATTCTTGAGCAGGTAGGAGTGATGACCCAAACCCTGTGATTTACGAAAAATAAGGTCCTCCAGCAGTCCAGCTGTGTTTCAGGTAGGGTTATAGCTTCAGTTAGGACATTTTCCCAAGCTGCATTTCCTTTCAGGCTGCCACTTTTCCAGAAACAAGCTATTTTGCCAACTTATAAAAACACATGCTATGAGCACCTTGTCGTGGTAGAAGTTCTTAGATGGATGATCACAGAAACATGGTGTAATGAAACAAAAAGCAAAAGGGCAGGTTCCCCTGTCCTTTTAGTCCCCAAAGTATGCTTCTGGGTCACCAATATTACACAGAGAGGTCACATCTACTGGTCACAAAATAATTTGGTCTATATTGCCACTTGGCTTTGAGATTCCCTACAAAGGATGTCATCTTGCTATGCTGGTGGCTTTTGGCATGGGGATATCATCCAGGCGAGTGAGCCTCCAAAAGAACGTAAGGTAGGCCTTGGACTGATAATATCCTACCAAGCGATAAAAAGCTTTAGTGGAGTCAATTAAACAGCTGGATAACAAAACTTCTTCTATCCCTTAATCCTTTTAGGATTTTATTTTACAATCCACATTTAATATACATCTTTTACAGACACATATGCACACAGATCTCTGCATGTGTTCGATATTTTTGGGAGAAAGTCACACACCTACCCACTTTAAGAATATGGAAGACAAGGGGCAACTTCAGTAGAGCAGCAGGTCAGGTTTACAAGTTCAACACTGTTAAACTACCTGTTTTTTCCCCTACTCATGTCTGGTTTCCAGGTTCCTTGCTGATGGCAGAGCTATGATACAATGCAGTGTGAGTCTGGAGCAAAAGCCCAACATTTTAAGGTAAATTTGGAGACCCAATTTCACAAAAAATCATATATCCCGCTTGTAAGTCACAGAAGCACTGAAACAGCACCAATGAGTGGCACTCTGCTTTGTGGTCTGGCATTAGTGTCAAAAGTCATGTGCTTTTTCCTCAAAACTGTGTTTAAATGTAGGATAAATTTATCTGACATACCAAAAATTGCAGCACATACTTCTGCTGAAGTATCATGGTAGCAGCTGGAATGTCAATACCTCATCCACAGATCTGCTTTTTAAAAACTAGGTGTATGAAAAAAGATAAGTGCTTAGGAAAAATAACTAGACAAAAATAAACCATGATGTAATTGAATAAAAGTATTAAATTCTGCTCATCATTTGCAGTTGATTTAAAATTTCAAAGTCTATACTAGCTGTGTTTTTTTGTTTTCTTTTTTTTAAAAGAAGATAGCATCTCTAGTTCCTTCCTATACTAACTCAGTTAGCAATCTACCTTGATAACATTGGAGTGGAAAAAAAACCCAGTGAAAAACCCTTCCAACATATCATTCAAATCATATCTAAAAAGGTGGTCATAAATATTTTAGAACCCAAGCAAACTAATAAGAGCTAGGCCCATTAAGGATAAGATCTTTTACAACAAATTAAATAAAACAATTTATTGAAGCCTGGACTTGAGATAAACTAGATTTACTAGCTGACCTTTTATTCATTTAAAGAACAAAATTAGCTCTAATTGCATTAGAATGGAATCCAGTAAATTTCTTCTAATGTGGCATCCATGCAAGTATTGCTGTAATTGTTTACAACTAAGATGGAAATGCTCTGATTATAATCTACTTTCTTCTTGTTTTACTGTGCAGTTAAAACACTTGCAAAAAACTTAAAGTAGAACAGTTTTCCTAATATTGGTTTCTCCATCCTTCAGCAAGAGCTACATTTTCATGTCCATTAACCTAACATTATTAATAGCTGTCTCTTTTGAACCTATGTCTGTTGTAAGAATATTTGCATGCTGGGCAAGCTCAAACGCAGAGATCACTTCGAGTCTAGAACCAATACATAGTTATATTCACAGAAACAAGAAAGGAGGAGAAAGCAGAAGGCTTCTCTGCCACTAACCTCACTGCTTTGTATGATGGTCCCAGCAGAGCAGCTGAGAAGCAAAATGCTAAGAAATAAACTGTTTACTACAGTGCAAAGGCATTTTCCTCACTGCTGCTGCATTATTTGAGTGAACTCTTGGCTCTGCTGTGCTAAGGATTACAACACCCGAGGTCCTCAGATGGTGCTCAAGGTGCCACTGAAGAAGCACAAAGGAAACTGGGATAGAAGCAAGTTTCCCAAAAGGCCGTAAAACAAGATGTCAGTATCTCTGACTGGCTCCGGGCTGACGATGATCATAGAATCATAGGTAGGAAAAGACCTCTAAGGTCATCAGGTCCAACCACCCACCCAACACCACCATTCCTACTAAACCATATCCTGAAGTGCCACATCTACACGTTTTTTAAACACCTCCAGGGATGGTGACTCCACCACCTCCCTGGGCAGCCTGTTCCAATGTCTGACCACTCTTTCAGGACTGAACACCTCACTACAACCTCCTTTCAGGTAGTTGTAGAGAGAAATAAGGTTCCCCCTCAGCCTCCTCTTCTCCAGACTAAATAACCCCAGCTCCCTCAGCCGCTCCTCATAAGACTAGTTCTCTAGACCCCTCACCGGCCTCGTTGCCCTTCTCTGGACACGTTCCAGCAACTCAACGTCCTTCTTGTAGTGAGGGACCCAAAACTAAACACAGTACTCGAGGTGTGGTCTCACCAGTGGTGAGTACAGGGGCACAATCTCTGCCCAGGTCCTGCTGGCCACACTATTCCTGGTACAAGCCAGGATGCCACTGGCCTCCTTGGCCACCTGGGCACACTGCTGGTTCACGTTCAGCCAGCTGTCGACCAACACCCCAAGGTCCTTTTCTGCTGGGCAGCTTTCCAGCCACTCCTCCCCAAGCCTGATGTACTCATATGATTTGTAGCAAGCAGATGGAGTCTGAAGCCCCTTCTCAAAATGTGTGTGGGTATGAGAAAGACTGGGGTGAGATAAGATGGGAAGCAAAGTCAACTCTTTGGTGCTAAAATACAGCTTCAGAACTTTAATTGAGAAGTTCTGCCTTGAAAATATGACTTAATTTTCCCCTGTTCTGGTTCTGACATCCCCTTACGAACATCTGTACTGTCCTTGAAAAAGAGGAGTTTAAAAGTATCCATAGGTGCTCAAGGAGGAAAATGGACTTGTGGGCTTTAAAGGGACAGTCTGTCCAGCTGTGCTCATTCATACCATGCACAGCAGGACAGACAACTGCTCCAAGAAAGCTGGGGCTTTCATACAGCAATCTGAGGCACAGAAATTTTAGGTCACACTCAAATATTGTGAAAGGAAGAAAGCAGAAATGGTTGTTGGGGTGGGGTGTCCCAAAGAAATCAAGAAATGGTTGAAGCCCCGTAGCAACGTCAGACCAGTAAAACTCACAGTTACCGACTGAGGAGGAGTAGGGCAGCACGGAAAAACAGAATAACCATCAAAGATGCCATTTAACTTATAAAGCAGAAAAATTATCGATTAGTTAAAAATGGCTACAAAAGAGAAACAACTACAGTAGCAGTATTTAATGTGATGAATGGAAAGGAAGAATCTGTTTGGTGCTCTTGTTTATCATCAGACATGAAAGTGTGCTCTGCGCCATTAAAAACAACATGAAAAACCTGATTAAAAGAAACCCTTCGCATACAACACAGGACCAGCCGAAAAAGCCCAGTGACGCACGGCTTCCCCAGCCTCTGCAGCCACCTGTTTACGCTGCGGGATCTCAGGATAGGGATCATCCTATTTATGCTCATACAGTACAAAGTAACTATTATTTGTACAGCAGCACCCAGTAATTAGAGAGCTAATGAACCAACATTTGAAATGCGTTAGGTACACTCATGAATAATCAACAGTTATAACAAAACAGGAGAGTATAAAGGAATTTCAACTGTTAGGTTTTAAAGCATAAAACAACTGTTAGCTGCAGAGCGTTCTGAAACTTAGCTGGAGGTTACACTAGGGATAACCATCCATTACGGAAACTTCCCACAGTATCACTGGAGGCATGTATGAGGCCAGATGGAGTTTTGTAATCCATGCCCTCGAAAGGCACGGAGTGAGAAATGCAGTAGGATGGATAGAAGATGATGGGTCCCACTTGGAGAGTAGAAGAAAAAAGGCAAAATGTCCAAAAAGTTTCTATTGGTAAGTGTTGATTTTCCATTAGAAATGTCAAAATATGTCACAGCTGTATAAATATCATTTACAATTAATTTTTAAGCATTTGACACTGAAAACAAGAGCTACCACGAGTGACAGAGGACGCACTGTGGTAAGCATACACTTTGCAGATGGATTTATTTGTACTCACATCTTGTCTTGGCCTGCACCCACTCTTAATGTCAGCCGAGGAATAACCGGTGAGGGAGCTGGAACAACTGGTTCCACCTTTATCTGTACAAGGGAACACAATCATCAATCAAAGACTGCAAGCAGACTCCCAAAATATATTAATTACATAAAAACATCGATAGAGTTAACCAAGCAGAGTACACCGGTTTTATGAGATAGACTTATGACAGACTGGTCACCGCTCTCTCATGCTTCGTGCTGTAGCAGGGATGGTCTGAGTTTGTTCGGACCTCCCAGCCACAGCAAATCACAAATATGAATTCTAGACTAAAAGGTCAATTTGAAATTTCATTCCATTTGTATCTGCTCATACACTTTGTTAAAAAGTCTTCCTGCTTTAGTATTTTTCTAGAGACACAAAAATCCCCAGTATGTTTCTAAACAATGACGAAATGCTTTGACCTTAGTACTCAAACTTGACAGGTGCCCAATGGCGTACACACTTTTTTCTGAGATTTAAATTCAGCTGTTTGCCAGGTCCATCACATCAATGTACTGTGACCCTCTTGAATCAAAATTAGACACAGAGGAAGCAAATAAACCCCAAGCACCAACACTGAATACTTTTTGAAAGTGCTTATCTACATAGGTATAACAGAACCACCGTTTTTTAATGCAATTAGGCTAAGGTTTTTAATGTATGTTTTTCATATGGCCTGGCTTCCAGCCTCAGTATCTGGTGGAGTTTAGGCGACTTGAATATGTCCTTAAACTCTCTGAACCAGGATCTGACAAAATGCTGAGCATGTGTGTCATCGTATTTAACAAAATAACCACTTGGCTGAATCTGGTCTAGGAACTTCAAGAGACAGAAATATTATGCACACACTAAATGGAAACCAAAGCAACTCTCAGTGAGAGAAATTGTTTTTAAAAAGCTTTAATAAAGAAAAGGAGGGTAAACAATCCCTCCAAAGCACAGAACCCAGTGCAGGAGACAGCAGGCCAGAGTGGGAGGACTCAATCAGGACTTACATTGAGGAACGGTAATGACAAAGTCCCATGCTACACACCTTGCCCAAAGAATCGGAGCTGCTCGTTAGGAGATGTCTACTCCAGAGAGAGACAGGCTGCAGCCTGACCAGTACTTCTGTTTTGACACGGTTAACCACGCTTTTCAGCAAAGCTCTCTACGGATGTGTATTAGCCTACTTCACAGGCGTCTCTCTACTCTTTTGTTTAAACAGCACATTTTTTTTGTTATGTCATTCCCCTGGAGTGTTATAAGATTTTTTTTTCTGTGGAGCTCCTAATTCCTGGAACAATTTCCCTGCCACTTTCCATAGGTAAATCTCTTAACTGCTTTCCTGGCACCTTAACCTGTAGCATTGTCCACTGCATAGAGACATGGAACTGAACCCTGGGCACAGGAGGCTCAGGCACATGCCTTCGATTATCTTACCTCTTCTCCTGCAGGTTTTTCCTCCTTCTGTAGTGCCTATTTCAGATACAAAACTTCCTAGGACAAGCACCGCTACTTAGCTTCCAGCACACAGCGCAGACAGATACTCATGTCATCCACCCTTTGCATTAAGGTCTTTTGTATTATTATTTGTATAACGCCAAGATGTTCTAAACAATGGTGGCGCAGGCTCATGCGGCAGAAGAAAAGCACATAAAACACTCCTTTATGCTCAGATACCAACATCACAGTCTGCTGTGAGAGGAAAACTGGGCTCCATGACAATCCTAAATCTCATCCTTTGATATAAGAGGAGAGGAAGCATCTTTCTACAACACGGGTTTGTGTGTCGGGTTTGCATGACTGGAGCAGAGGGAAAATTACGGAGCGTTCACAGTTATACCCTGGATATCTGTGTTTTCCTCTACCTTGACGATAGGATTTTGATACACGAGTAAGGGCAGTTTACGTCGGGGCAGCTCTGGCAAGCCCTGCCCCAGCGCAGGGATGGCTCCATTTCTCACCAAGCCGTTCCTCCACTACTTTAGTTTACAGCTCAGCGTATTAAGGTTAGCTGAAACTGGGTCAGCAGCCGCTTCGTGAGCTGCTCAGTCCCTCCTGCAGCACGCCCGGCAATCTCCATCGTAGAAGTGGGGCATAACTGTTCCATCTGTTTGCTCTCAATGTGGCACCGTGTGCCAGGCAGTGCTCCAGCTCACTGTCGCCTTTTCGGGCTGCAAGAGCAGCACCCCAACACTTACTGCGGAGCACAGAGCTGCGGGCAAGCCCTACACAAAAGCTCTTCTTCCTCAGTCCCACTACCAAACACTCCCAGCACGCAGCCTTCAGCTTCTGCCTTCTGCCATTTGTGCAGAGTGCTGCTTGCTGTTCTGCGTCTTCCAGCAGGTCAGGGCCAAATTACAGGGAAAACTTGATAAAAAGCTTCAATTCCTCAACAGGGTGGGATGCACACTTAGGTAATAACTATAAAAATACTCAAAAATGGAAACGTTACCGTTGAGTCACTCTTTTCTTTAAGTGTAGCAATATTAGAAATAGAAATCTGATATTTTCCACTGGCCGTCAAGAGCCGAAACTGCAGCTAGCCCACAAATTCATCCTTCAGGTCGCGCTCACGCCTCGGAAGCGGCCGCGCCGTGGAAGGTTAAGTGTCCCAGCAGTAACTTGATCATTTGCTCTTAGAGCACAACCGCTGGCTAAATAAGTCATTGTGTGATCTGAAAGCTAAATTAAGGAAACATGTACTTTTAGGGGTTAAAACGAAAGAGCAGCATTCTGGAGTAATACTGGGAATTGGGGCCAGCAGAAGAGCATTTACAGTGGATTACTAAGCTTCCCAAATCACCAAAGAGGTAAAGTCCAGCAATATAAGACTCCTTTGTAGCTAACTAAAAATACATTGTCAGTGGATTTGTCCAGTTTTATGTATAAGCAATACTTCTTTCACCTGAACTAATACTAGTAGTCATATAAGCCCCTTATTGCCATGTGCTGCATTTTTTTTGCTAATCTTCAAGGATTTAGCTTCTTTGCCACATACCTCAGGGCACCAACTGATAAAGCTCTAACTCTCCATTTTTCCAGGACACCAGCAGTGCGGCCTTGCAAAAAATGAAAATCGCTCAAGAGATTTAAAGGGGAAATTTATTTTTAAAATCCTGACTTGCAGCAAAGTGATGGATTTAAAAAAAGCTTATCTATCAAGAATCAGTTTAAATTTTAATTCTATCTGGGGATTCTTTCATGCATTCTAGCTTTAAAGTTTATCTTTTGACAGGGACTTTTTGCCAAGGTAATGGGCAGCTTTGTCAATTTAATTTGTCCAAGTTTTTATTACTGTTGAACTCCTTTTCCTAATATATATATGTTAAGTCTACAACGAAGCTTTACTGGTTTGTATGTGTTTGTGTATCTGTTCTACTGCTCTAAAGCAAACTAGTTACAGAGATTTGCAGAAGAAATGCAAAGTCGAATGTATGGAAAACGAGCAACTTGTAGTCTCTATTTTATCTACACACATATTTCACTTCAGAAGAAATCTCTACAGAAATTCTCAGTGAAATAGTGACAAAACGTCTCAGGCATGAGGGGCATACAGACAAAATGGGGAACCCGTGAAAGCGCTGCTGCAGTCTAAAACCATTAATTAACACCAAATTAACATGGACAACTTGACCACCACCCTATCATTCACCGACTCATCCACGGCAGGTAAATGTTAGTTCTCCGTATCACCTGGATCCTGCACTGAAAAAACATTTGTCAGCTTCAGAAATCTGTTAAGTTTTGAAACCAGCAGTTTGCTTCGAGTCCAGCAGGGAGCACGACGGAGCACAGTGGCAAAAAAGGGAAGTGAGGAATGTCCCAGATCTGAGCTGGTACGAACCGAGTATTACACACAAAGCAGGGTGCAAAGAGCATCTTGGTAAAACCAGAACCTATGTAGTGCTTCCTAACTCTAAGGACAGAGACTTAGGAAATCTATCCAAGGTTATCACATATGAAGACAATCTTTTTCTTTTCTTCTTCTTTTTTATATTAACAATTTAATGCGTATTATAAGGTGAAGTGACAAAAAATTAGAGCAAACCCTGAATTGGGGGAGCTGCTTCTAATGGGATTTGAAATCTGATAACATGCAAATATGCTAGTTTCATTCCTTAAATATTAAATATATTCTCAAGATTAGGTGATCTTGGAAAAAAGAAATTATCTTTGGCTGATGCAAATCAGTCGGAGTTAAAGGCATGGAAGGCGCGCAACCCACTCGAAAACTAACTCTCCTCTTCTCTCTCTCCAGCGTAAGACTCCAAACCAAAGGTGACATTTGAACATTTAGACCATAACTTGAAAACACTTTTCTTACTTCAAACAAATTGGAGCAACAAGGGGGTCTTGATAAGAGAGGACTCAGCAGCTCTTCTGCACTTCTGAGATAACTGGTGAACCAGTTTATCTGAAGGCAGCTTGCTCCTCATTTCTGTCCACCTGGTAATCTACAGGCTTCTACCAGCTTTGAAATAGTAGACTTTCAGAAACTAAATCTAAAGTTTATATGGAAGGCATGTGGTTGCTGGCCCTACTGGTGGAAATCTACAGAACAAAATTTGTGCACTGCAACACCATATATATTTGTTGTGTGCGTGCTGCTGTCGAGTCTGAGCCCCAGCTTTTCAAAGTGAAAAGTGAGTTGAGGAAAACCAGAAAGACAATCTCACATTTCAAATTCACAAAATTGAACTTCCTTTCTTTTATCTTCCAAAGAGGTGGGACAATCCCTGAAACTCTTGGGGGACGTCTTCCTTGGAGCTGTTGGTTTTAAAAAATACCAAACCTGTAATCGCACATCTCCTCAAATCTCTTAAGCAACACTCAGCAGCAAATACAGGAATCAATGTGCATTTTTCAAGCAAGTAGGCCACCTCAACTCATCTAAACAGCTTACCTTTTCATGTTTGTGTTTCTCTTTTTCTTTCTCTTTCTTTTCTCTTTCTTTCCTCTCCTTTTCCTTTTCCTTCTTTTCCTTTTCTTTGTCCTTCTCCCTTTCTTTCTTTTTCTTCTTCTCTTTTTTGTCTTTCTTCTTCTCTTTTGGTTTCTCTTTGTCCTCAAACAGTTTTTCAGGAAGCATTGGAGACAAAGAAGGTAACATGCTGGGAAGCCTCATGGCAGTTGGTGTGCTGAACAAGGGCAAAGACATTTCTTTGGGAGGTAACACAAGAGGTGCTGATGGAGCCTTTATCTTATCTTCCTTACCCTTATCTTTAAGTTTCTCTTTGTCTTTCTTATCCTTGTCTTTTTTGCCTTTCTCCTTCTCCTTCTTTTTATCTTTATGTTTTTCTCTCTCTTTTTTGGCATTGCCATCTTTCAACTTCACTTTTGTGTCAGCCTCCTCAAAGTCCTTTAGTTTGAATTTGTAGGGATCAAGATCATCTTCTTTGAGCACTTCCTTCCACTGAAACTTCGATTCCTTGTTTCCTTCCTTGTCTTTATCCTTCTCCTTGTTCTTTTCCTTCTCCTTACTTTTCTCCTTGTTTTTCTCTTTATCTTTTTCCTTTTGTTTTTCTTTCTTCTTCATTTTTGTCTTCAGCTCCTTTTTCAATTTCTTTTTCACTTCTACTGATGAAGCCAACTTGGTTTTCTCCTCATAGACTTTGAGAAGAGGTTCTGGAGTTGGCGGTGAAGCAGATGGAGAGGAGAAATAAGTGAAGTTGGTAGGTGGATTAGAAGGTGTCCCCATGTTTGCCTTTCGAATGACCTCATCAATTGAGTCATCCATTGTCCATGAAATGTCTGAACTTGAAGTCCCACCTGAGGGGGGTACTGGAGTTGCTCCTGCCTTGTTTGCATTATTGGCAGAAACAGAAGGTTTAGGAGTTGTAGTCTCTGAAACAGAAAGTCTTTTAGGACTGGTAAATATTTCCCCTTCTGATTCGGAACCAGAGGAAAACTCAAAGGGATCCGGTTCTCGTTCTGCACATGCACGAGCAATCACAGCATCGATTGAATCATCAATGGTCTTGTCCATTACTGGCACTTTCTTAGTCTGGTTTTCAATATTTGGCTTGGTGGCAGGCTCAGGTGGTGTCTGTCCTTGTTTTACTTGAATGTTTTCCTTTCCTATCTTGTCACTTAATGCAGCCAGAGGGGTTCTGCTTGGTGTTTCAGGCTTTGCAGGTGGTTGGGGAACATGAGCAGGAACCTTTGGACTTTTAGGACTTTTCGGGCTCTTGATGCGACCTGGTGACTTCTTTTCTTTGGATCCAGTTTTTGGTGAACGTATGGGACTTCCAGTTACCACTGGTGAGGGCGTAGTTTTAGGGGATTTTGTCTTCTGTCCTGGAGAACTTGTTTTGGACTTTGTTTTGGGTACAAATGGCTTTGCCTCTGAAGTTTTGGGAGCTGGCACTTGCGATTTTGCAATGGGAGCCAACATTGGTGGTTCTGGTGAAGGAGGGGCTAAGTCTGTATTGTCCTGAACATGAACTGGAGAAAGCATTGGTGGTACTTTTTGAGTATTTATTGAGCTAAGAGGCTCACGTGGTTCCAAAGCTCCATCCAAAGTGTCCCCTTTGGAAACAGATAGTTTTGGCCGTTTCACAGGTGGAAATTCCTCAGCATCAGGACTTTCTAATGGTCTCTTGCTCAAGTAGTTCTCATCGTTAATTGCCTCATCCTCATCCATATCTCCCTCTTCTTCCAGTGGCACCTGCATGGCCTCTGCAGATGTACCTCCATCAGTAGGCACCTGTTCCTCTTCCTCTTCTGTGATAAAAAGAACATTTTAAAAAACCATTAGGATAATTAAAAATATGTTTTACAGAAACAAGCAAGCACCAGAGCAAATGTTCACATGCATCTCAGCCTGTAACAGATAACTGGCCACGTAACAGCTTCTTAATTGTCTGCTTGGAAGGAAAGTGTGGCATCTCCTCCGTCTTGCATCAGCCACAGTCACAACCGGCAGGTGCCCTCATCGCAGTGAAACATCAAACCCATGAGCAAAGGACATGAGGGTAGAGCTCAGCAAGGACGGTAGACCTTGTGGCACAGGTCCAAAGTGTCAGTTCTACCTAAAAAAATCATGATTATTTCTTATTGCAGCTGTTGGGATTACAACAACATGAACTTGCTCCATTAATTTTAAATGAAGGGAGAGCAGTTGAAGCATTTTTTGCTGTAACAAAGTGGACTGCAAAGCATACATCAAAGTAAAATTCACTGGAATTAGCTGTCTTGCTTACTATCACACAATTTTGACTGCAGATTAACTACTAGGAAAACATCTTCCTAAACCTGGTTTGCTTTTCCTGAAGCAGCACAGTCTGAAGGTTACAGCAGAGGACTAAGCTCCATCCAACCTGCCAGGTTCTGTCCCCGATACCATCTTAAGAGCTTACTGCACACGGACGTTATCTGCTGTGATGATACGGGAACACCCCAGCCCTGCGTGTGTGCGTGTCGGTTTGCCTTTGAAATGCATCTCCCCATCATCCCCGCTCACTGCTGTTTTCTTGGCATCACGGGGCAATCCTGGAGTCCACACGCTGGCTTTCTGCTGTCGTGAAACCAAAATGAAAGGTGTGTTGCCGGAGGAACACACCTAACGCGCTCCAGTTGCAACTGGGCATTCGGGCTATGAGACAGAAACAACAACTTTTGAAAATAAAATCAAGCCTAAAACATCAACAGTGTGGAATTGGGCACCTTTTCAAGCCAGTGAGGACATCGCCTGTGTGATTGCTCTGGTTTTTTTGTTTAATAGCAATTACTTTTTTCCCTTTTACACAACCATCTTCAGTCCCACACGTGTGACACAGTGGTGCAAAGAAAGGAGAAAATTCACTTGAGATCTCCCAGCAAATCCGCGGCAGGCTTGAGATGAGAATATCTGATCTCCCCAGCCACAGCCAAGCACTTTATCCTCCTGGATACACTTCCCCACTTTCCAAATGGAATTCTCCAAGCAGGAAAAAGGATTCTTAGTCTGGAATAAGAACGAGCACATCGGTGTCAGCCTGACAGGTTTACATTTGCTGTAATTACCTCATCACACCTGCGCCGGTTAACATCCCCGTGTAGACAACCCCACTTTGCTTCACCCCATGTCTCTGTTTACCCACCTGCAAAAACGCCTGACATTTTGTCTAGCAGGGTTTCTGCAGAAAGATGTCACGTGCCCTAAGATTCTCACATGAAATACGCAGTAAAAAACATTTATTACGACAGCGGCTAGACCCCAACTTTGTAATGAGCAGGTGGTTTGAAAGAAGCAAACACTGAAAAACTTCTAATGTTCCCCTACCGCCATGTAGAGCTTTGTAAGACAGAATCTTTCTGAAATCTCTCTGAGGCGTTTATTTTCAGGTTTTCTGTGCTGGTGTTTCTCTCCTGTAATGTGTCAATGCTCTGATTTAGGAGACTTGAGTCGAGAGCCCTGGGCTGCAGCACAAATCTTGCCAGCATCACGAATTAAGTAAAATGAGCTAGCAACTCTGGCTTTTGCCAGGGCCCAGAGGATTTACAGCAGCCAGCCCAGAGAGGAGACTTTGCCTGAGGATAAAGTCTTAGCCTTCCGTGAAAAACAGAAATGTTAGGGAGTTCGGTTTTGCCTGGCTGGGCACTGACATTACATTTTTTAAGCTGTAAAGTTAGAGTATAACTGAGAAATCACCGTGGACCGAGCCTGCACCTGCTACGGGGGGCTGAAAAATCAGCTTCCAGATCATGGAAGTTATTTCAATCTCTGTTTAAGCTGTTGCAGAAATCAGCTGCCTTCATCTGCTCCAAACTGTTTTGGGCATGAAGAATTAGCATTCATCAGATGTCACACAGCACTGGTTGCTACCGAGCTATTCCCTCCCAACCCCAAGCAACCTAGTTTGCCACCGAGAGTTTGTTTTCATTTAAAATTTTAGAGAGAGATAAAACTTAAAACAAACACCTTACTTTAAAATGGGGATTTAGAGAAGTCTTCTGCCTCTGCAACAAGATGAAAAGTGTAGCCAAATTCAAACATTAGGAACGACAAGGTTTAGAGATAGCAACATAAACCATTTTAATATAAAAAACATGGGGATAAAAAGAGTCGATAAAGCGGAAGAGAAACTACCGCAACGAACAGTAAAAATATTACATTTACTAGAAAAGTCAGAACATTTATTTGCTAAAGATTTCTGCCTGGTGTCTGTTTAAACAGCCACTCTGCTACACCGTGTCTCGTGGAAAGGCACTGCAATATTTCATATTTTTGTAACTCGTTCCCTTCCCAAGGTGCTTCTCATGTTTTACCTACTCGGGACTGCAGAAAATCAGCAGCTGCCGGATCAAAGGTGAAAAAACAATGTCAGAGGAGGTTTGGAGAAGGGGGACTGGCGTTTTGTACAATAAAAAAAAGAGTAATGCTTATTTTTTTTTCAATAAGGCCAAGTAAAGTTTGCACCAGGCCCTAGAAGTTTCTGTGATCTTGTGTGGAGACGGCAGGGAAGGGCAGAAAAGGTTAAAGTGCAGTTTGGAGAGGTGAGACTAGAAATCGGGGTGTCTTGGCTCCAGCTTTCATGCACATTCCTGCAAGCCACAAAGACAACTCAGTAAGGAAGCAGCAGCATTACTATCCCTTTTATACGGACTTGGATTCCCCAAAACATCTGGAAAAAATTGCCTGGGTCACTCCTGAACAATCCAGGGACTAAGGAAGTTCATGAGCACTTAACTACTGACACCCATTCACCACTTTCCAGGCATGCTCAGATGGCCATCTGGAATCCTACCGTGGTCAAACAAAACCCAAATTTCTCTTGGAACAAGGCCACGGGCTGATCCTCAGTGAGGACTGGTTTTCTGCCAGGCAGCGGCTTTCCAGCCTGAGCCACCGCAGCTGTGGCCATGGCAGAAAACAATAAAGCACTTTTTTTTTGGTGGGGATTTAGTTAGAGAAAGTGAAATCTCTGCCTTACGTTCAAGAGCTACAGGCTTCTTTTCCTCCAGAAGGATTCACGCTGGAGCAGGAAGCAAATATGGGAAAATACCAGCTTTTAAGCATAATCTGCTCGACTTGGCAATGAGAATTTAAAACCATGCAGCCGCTTTTTCACCTTTGTCCATCTCATTCGCGACCCGGCACTTGTGGCCGCGCAATCCTTTGTGCACGGGATTGCTTTTTAACTCTCTTTACTGCCGTCTCTCCCTATCTCCGGCCACCTTATTAACGATCCGACTCTTGAGTTAGCATCTCTAGGTCAAATGGGTATCACCTCGGCCATCTGCCCTAATAACTCTCTCCTGTAATGAAAGGAGACTAGAGCTGTTCAGGAGGTTTCCCAAGATAACAGATACTTTTTTTTTTTTTTTGGTGGTTGCAAGAGAAGTCTGTGCTGGATCAATATTAATGCTCACGTTACTAAAGCTATACAGAGCAATTGTTTATTATGTCAGGAGTCCGACGTGCCAAGCCCGGGTTCAGCCGATGCGCAGGTTACAGGAGGGATGGGTCCAGCCGTCGCAGCGCAGCCCCGAAGGTGAACTCGTCCAACGCTGAAATCAAACAAGCTGACAGCTGCCAGCACGCTTGCTTCCGAGAAAACTGTTCTTTAAGACAGCCTTTCTTACTGGAGCATATTAGGATGCGTAACATCGCCTGTGTCTATGCAACGAGGCGAGCTCTTCACTTTGATGAGAGGATGATTTTGGAGTTAAGGGAGGAAGGAGCCCACTCCTCTCTTGTCACGGGTCCGCAGCGCGACGTTGGGCAGGTCACACTACGTACTGCCGTCTTCCCATCTGACAAGCGACGATAATTTCATCTCGCGGAGGCACTGTGAAAGCTGAGCTTGATAAATACGCAGCTCCTCGGGATCTCTGGACAGCAAGCATTAGAATCCCAACTGCAAGCCGTGGGGATCTGTCACCACTTCAAATGCCGGAACATTTCTTAAGATGAACAGTTCGGGCAACAAACTGAAACTCCTGCACCTTTTCAATGAAAAACCATTAAAGAAGCACAAAATTTCTTTATTTGCATGTCATGTTCCTGCAGCACAGCAGGGATTCCAAAACCAAAGGCTTATTGAATATACACCTTCTTCTACAAGGATGATGAGGGGACTGGAACATCTCCCCTACGAGGAGAGGCTGAGAGAGCTGGGCTTGTTCAGCCTGAAGAAGAGAAGGCTGAGAGGGGACCTTCGAAATGCTTATAAATATCCGAAGGGTGGGTGTCCGGAGGATGGGGCCAGACTCTCAGTGACAGGACAAGGGGCAATGGGCACAAACTGAGGCACAGGAAGTTCCGTCTGAACATGAGGAAGAACTTCTTCCCTCTGAGGGTGACGGAGCACTGGAACAGGCTGCCCAGGGAGGTTGTGGAGTCTCCTTCTCTAGAGAGATTCAAGACCCACCCGGACAAGGTCCTGTGCAGCCTGCTGTAGGTGACCCTGCTTCGGCAGGAGGTTTGGACTAGATGACCCACAGAGGTCCCTTCCAACCCCTACTATTCTGTGATTCTGTGATTCTGTGATTCATTAGGCCACGGCTCAGTTTCCGGACAGCAATACTCAACATTTCCAAGCTCACGAAGTTCGAGGCACTATTTGTCCCGAACACCGGCACAGGGGTGCAAAGGAACAGAAATTCTGCCTTTACTGCAGAAAAAGAAGTGCAATCAGCCGTACCACGCTGTCATGCTCTCCTGGCCGCCTCATCAGAGAAGGCTGCACACATTGCTCCTTCAACAGCAGGTCAGATGAAAGTGAAGGCAGGAAACTTGG